CTGTAGTGGGATGGCTCCAAGCAGAACAGGAACCTCTTGGGAACGAAGCAGTGGGAAGCTCACTCTGGTCTCACCCGGGAATTCCGGCAAGAATAAGCGGCGGTCGGTCAGTAAAACAGACTAAGTACCGCCCAGCCGGTGTGGCTCAGTGGTTGAGTGTCAACCTATGAACCAGGAGGTCACGGTTTGATTCCCGGTCAGGGCACAGGCCTGGGTTTCAAACTCAATCCCCAGGAGGGGGTGTGAAGGAGGCAGCTGATCCATGATTCTCTCATCATGGATGTTTCTCTCTCTCTCCCTCTCCCTTCCTCTCTGAAATCAATGAAAATATTAAAAAAACAAAAAAACAGACTAAGCACCGGGAGGAACCGCCCAGGAAAGAGACCATGCCCCTTCCTTCCTGGAGTCCATGCTGTTGTCACCCAGTCTCTACACACACACACACGACCTCACGCTGTGTCCGTCCCCTCCTGGTCCCGTAGGGAGCCTACCCGAGGCCCAGAGCACACCTCGCCTCTTGTTGATTTTGTGGGAGTGTCAGACTCTGGGTGAGTCACACAAACCCAGGTCCCTCCCCCCCTCCTGGGAGAGGGAGGAGAAAGCTGACCTCACCACGCATCGCAGCCGAGCACGGCCGGGCGGGGAGCTCGGGGGACGGATGGCTCCGGCCTGCACTGACCCCTGAGTTCCCGTTGTAGCTGCTGTTTCTCTGGGGGTCTGTCTGGCCCAGCAGGGCGGGCGCGGGTGCGAGAAGAGGGGGTCTGAATGAAATGCTGGCTCTTCTGATCGCCAGGCAAGTTGGACTATAACACAAACACCCCTGTTCGGTCTTTACAACAATGCATTCGGCCCAATACCAGCTGTCTTCATTGGAGGCCCCTTCATGTCAAAGAAAGCTCACAATGGCATAGTTTCCTGTGGGGCTTTTTGTTTTGTCGGTTTTGTGTGTGTTTGTGTGTGTGTGTGTGTTTGTGTGTGTGTGTTGTGTGTTTTTTGCTTCAACACGGGTGTGAAAGGGGGTAGGGAGCTAACAACATTTCCAAGCTTTTGTCTGCTGACCAGGCTTCAGGGCATGGCTGCCTGCGCGGCATCATGGCGATGCGGTCTAGTCTACAGTGTGTGACTGGGACGAGGCTGTGGACCCGTGGTATGCAGCTCACCATGCAGTGCCACGTGTCCGGTCCCTCTGAACGAGAGGCACACGTTACCTACACGGCACGGCAGCCAACATGGTTCTCCCACGCCGCGTCCGCCCTGGGCCGCGTGTGCTCCGAGTAGATGACGCTGCCACAGCCCCGGTAGGGAAGCTGCTGTTCCCGCCCTCCCCCAGCTCGCGGTGCATCCGGCCTCTCCCCACAAGGGCCAGGAACCAGTGCATTCGCCATCTGATTTTCAGGAATCAGTCACAACGCAGAGGCCAAGGCTGGGTGCTCTTAGCAAAGGCAGGCGCTCTGTTCGCTTCAAGCCCGAACGGAACACTTTAGAGAGAGTACAGTGCACGCCTCCCGTCACAACACAAGATGCCTCTCAGAGGGGATGCTGGCTGCGCAATTTTAAAGTTAGGGAGCGAATAGAGAGAAAAACCAGGCAGACCATTTCCTTCTGATGCAGACAAATCAACGCGAGCACCTGAAATGAGGGGTCTCGGGAGAGCCAGCCAGCCTCCCACACTCACCCGCCTGGAGCCAATCAGCCCCCCACACTCACCCGCCTGGAGCCAGTCAGCCCCCCACACTCACCTGCATTGGAGCCGGTCAGGTTGTAGCGCGCGTTCAGCTTCTTGATGATGTTCTCGTGGATCTGGTGCCACTCGCTCTCCGTGTTGCACCTGGGACATGGCCTCTGTCAGTGTGGGGGCCGTGAGCTGCAGCAGTGACATCCAGCCCGCGGCTCTGTCCTCACCACCCAGTGTTCGCCCTCCTGCCTCCCTGCAGCTCCCCGCAACCTCCTCAGCCCGGCCTGCACCCTCTTACAATCCGGGACCACTGGCTCCTAACCGCTCACCTGCCTGCCTGCCTGATCGCCCCTAACTGCTCACCTGCCTGCCTGATCGCCCCTAACTGCTCACCTGCCTGCCTGATTGCCCCTAACCTCTCGCCTGCCTGCCTGATCACTCCTAACTGCTCGTCTGCCTGCCTGATTGCCCCTAACAGCCTCTGCCTTGGCCCCCGCTGCCACGACTTCTGGATGGTCTTTACACAAATAATCAAGGTAAAGCGAGGTCCTTAGGCGGATCCCAGTAGGCCCTGGTTCCCGGGCCCTGCCCTGCCCCAACCCCCGCGCCCACCCCCGCGGGCAGCCTCTCACATGTACACTTTCAGGATGAGGTCGTCCTTGGTCTCCCCGGTCAGCAGGTCGGCGATGCTGAGGACCGCGCAGCCGAAGGGGCGCCGGTACTGCACGCTGCAGGCGTTCTTCTTCTCTCCCGCCCCCATCCGACCTGCCAACGGGAAGCAGACATGGCCAGGAAGTCATGGATCTGGGCCTCACGAGGCACACACACCATCATCATGTCATTGGCCACGGGAAGGACACAGGTTTGGGGCGACAGGAGATGCCGCTTCAGCCCGGGACCCTCCCCCGCAACGACCTAACCGTGACCTCGATCATCGAGGAAACGTGAGGACCGAGCTGGTCCCACACGGGAAGCCTCCTCCCCAAGGCCCCGCGAAGGCGCCAGGAGGCCCGGGTCCGAAAGGCAGGGAAGTGCCTCTGCCAGGGCATGTGCCTGCTTGTGGATTCGATCCCCGGCCCCAGCTGGGGCGCAGGCAGGAGACAACTGATCCATGTGTCTCTCTCACATCCATGCCTCTCTCTCTCTCCTCTTCCCTCCTGCCTTCCACTCTCTTAAAAAAAACAATGGAAAAAGTATCCTCACTCCTCAGGTGAGGATAAAAAAAAAAGATGGACACAAAATTGTTGAATCAAATGGTCAGGGAGCCCCATGAAACAAAAAGAAACAACAAACTCCGAGAGGACTTGTGGCGAGAAGACTGTGCCGGGTGAGCGGGCTGCACAGGAGTGGGGAGGCCGGGGAGCAAGCCCCCCGTTCTGGGATTCTCGGGCGCAGCTCCGGCTCCGACGTCTTTCTGATTCAGGCAGCGGGCAAGTCACAAGGACAGAGGCCTCGCCGCACGCCTTCCCCGTGTGCTCCCCCGACAGGGCCACACCTACCGATCCGGATGATGTGCACCGTGATGTAGATGTCCCTTCGCAGCTCGCCGCTGCTCAGATCCTGCCAAAAACAAAGCCCAGTTATCGTAGAACTCGTCCGTCACGGGGGAGCCGTGAAAGGGCCCAGCACGTTATTCCTGCAAATAACGGACGGAACGGAGCTGCCACACGACCCAGCAACTCACTTCTGGGTATTGATCGAAGAAAATAAAAACGCTAATTTAAAAAGAGACGTGCACCCCTGTGCTCCCTGCGGGATCAGCAGTAAGAACCAGGATGTGGAAGCAGCCTCGGTGTCGTGTATGGATGGGCACAGAGGGAGGACGTGGCTCACGTACACAGTGGAAAGTGGTCAGCACGAGAAAGAGGGAAATCTCGCCAGCAACAACACAGATGCAACAACACAGACGGACCCGGAGTGTATGACGCTGAGTGAAATACTAGTAAGTCAGAGAAAAACACAGACTGCGTGGCCTCACGTATATGTGGGATCTAAACGAACAAGAACAATTAATAAACAAAACGAAGCAGAAACAGACCCACAGAGACAGAGAAGAAGCTGATGGCAGTCGAGGGCGTGGGGGTGGGGAGATGGAAATAAAAAACAAACCAACAATAACTAGCTCACAAGACAACCAGCGCCCACACACACAGAAAGCTTTGAAGTTTTTTAGAGGGCATCATAAAGAAAGGAGAGTTGTGTTTCATAGCATTATGACGGGTGACTTTTTAAAGATTTACTGAACTTTCTGTAGTACCTTTCTAAATGAAAGTTAGGTGTTTATTTCCTCCCCCCAAAAAATCAACATAGATATTTTTAATGGTATTTTTGTAGCAGAAGCATATAGTTCAAATCCTGTTCTAAAAGTACTATAGTTGCCCAGCTGGTGTGGCTCAATGGTTGAGCATTAACCTATGGTTTGATTCCCAGTCAAGGGCACATGCCCAGGTTGCAGGCTCTCAATCCCCAGTAGGGGGCATGCAGGAGGCAGCTGATCCATGATTCTCTCTCAGCATTGATGTTTCTCTCTCTCTCTCCTTCTCCCTTCCTCTCTGAAATCAATAAAAAAATATTTTTAAAAAATAAAAATACTATAGTGGACTTTACTGTAGGTTTACTGACGTCACATGATAGTTAAAGGGAAAGCCCGCTCTCATGTCAACCTCTCCCTCACTCATTCTCATATCGAGTCACGTCGCCCATCCAACACCAGGCGAGCTACCACCCCTGCACTCTGGGGGGAGGGTGACCAGCCCAAGGGCCGAGAGGAACGCAGGGGCGACCCTGTCCGAGTCCCGGGCACTCCCGGCCTTTGCATGTCGTTCACAAAGTTTAAGCCAATCGCCTGCGTTGGCTCACAGGGATCCACGTCCCCGCAATAACACGCAGCGCCACGGGGAGGACGCGGCACACTCACCACGAAGAGAGAGCAGTGCCGCTCGGGCTTGTCGGGGGCTTTGGGCAGCCCGTTCCTGTTCAGCCTCAGGAAGAACCGCTCGCTGCGGGAGAGAAGAAGGTTAGCGTCGTAAAGGCTGTTTAGTAGCTCGGACGGGGTGCTTTCCCGGGTGCCCCTCAGCCCCAGTCGGGCTCCACACCCGTTAGATCACTCGTGTGACATGGAAGCTTTTCTAGAAAACAGAAGCGCCCCCAAGACAACCATCATTGGCTCCACTTCAGACAAAACCAGAGAAGTAGCAACCACAGAGCCGAGAATGTAAACATACACGTGAACAAAATAGACTTAATATTAGAGAAGTGTACACTTGGATCTTATATGATTTTATTAAGTGATGCCACCCCAATTACTTCAACAAAAATTTTAATAAAATTGAAAGAAGAAAAGAGGTTTCCATGCCAGTTGCTATCATCTGGAGGAGGCGCAAATGCAGAGTATGGGTGGCTGCTGATTCCAGAGTGCAGGCTGGGCACAGAGTAACTCACCAGCGAGCTTACGGCTATCAGTGCATGAACAATAAGCTTCATGCATATGTCCTAAACCTTTTTTTTTTTTACTAGAAATATTCCAGCATTACTTTGTGTTTGTAAAACAATACATGTGGCCTGGTGTTCCTGAAAACTGTCGATATCTACGTATTTTAATAAGTGCTTTTTAAAGCATGGATTTGTAGGATACAACATATATTCTAAATTTGAATTGGAAAAAACTTAATGTAAACGATGGTGTGTGTTATGCTCAACTTTAAAAAACAAATGTATGGAAAGTTTAAGGCACACAAACACATCCATTATAAGTTCCTACTAAATACTGCAAGCTTGCCTCGAGAGAACCACAACAGGTGAGACTCAAAGCACGGGAAAGAAGAAGAAAGTACATGAACACATATAACTTTATGGAAACTGTTCATCAGGCCTCAGCTCCGGAGCTTTAGTGGGAAGGGTTTCGGGTACACTTGATCATCTCCTGGTATCATCTGATCCAGGTGGGATGAGAATAGGGTACTATTTCACTGTAAACAGGAAAGCTACTATGTGCTGACTAATCAGCAAGCAGACTTCGAAGCTATTCTATCTTCCCCTGAACTA